GTGTGTGTGTGTGTGTGTGTGTGTGTGTGTGTGTAAAATGAGGCAAATACAGTGTGTGCGTGTTTGTAAAGTGAGTTCCCACAAGTATCCCCACCACACACATGCACTCATACCCCCCCCCACTCGCACTGCCATACACACAGACCCCAGACCCATACCCTTACACAGCCCAGGCACCCTCCCCCCACACAGTCCCCCAGACTGCACACCCACCAACACCTCACATATCCACACACACCCACATGCTCCCTCACCCCCCACCTCCCACCACAAAACCCACCACACACCCATACCCACAGCCCTCCACAAACCTATACCCACCCCCATTCCCTCCACACACCCACAGTTTACAAGAGTAAGACTTCATTTAAGCTATTGTGTGCTCACCTCTATGTACACTACACAAACGCATGTAAATCAGGACAAGAAGATTTTTTTAAATCAAATCAATGAATGTTGTACATGTTTGATTTTTAGAATATAATTTGGTATTTTTCTGGTTCTGAGATAGCAAAATCCCTTGCTGAACGGAGTCCTACCAGGGGCAAAGGGAGGGACTTCTGGTGGGAAAGGTCAGGGGCTACGAGGTGAGACTTCCTGTCCCAAGATGGCAACCAGGTTGCGGGGCTATCCAGTGCAGCCCTCAACAGCCTGCTGAAACTCAGTAAGTGGCCCTCCACCTGAAATAATTGCCCACCCCTGAGTTAGACTCACTGGCCTGTGGTTCCTTGGGTCACTTATAGAGCCTCTTTACAATATGGGAGTCTCACTGGCAATCTTCCAGTCCTCTGGTACCAAGGCTACTTTTACTAATAGGCTGCATACTACAGTTAGGAGTTCATCAGTTTCCAGTCACAGCTTCTTCAGGATCCTAGGGTGAATGCCATTAGGTCTTGGTTATTTGCTTCCATTTAATTTATTCATTTCCTCTATGACCTCATCTACTGAAACATCAAGCTGGGCCTGCTCCATTGACTTATGCCTAGAGATGAGTGGATCTGGTGAGGGAGAATCTCCCTAACATCTACCACAGTGAAGACAGATGCAAAGAATGCATTTAGTTTCTTGGCAATACCCCTGCCATCCTTTACTGCCCCCTTTATACCCTGATCATCCAAAGACCAAAATTACTCCATGGCAGGTCTTCACGTGAGGGTTTGCCAGGATGTAGGCACTGGGCCTATGGGTATGTCATGAAGCAATTAGGGGGTCAGCAAGGTAGGAGTGCAGATTACCAGAGCATCAGGCTGTGGTTTAGGTCAGAAGGCTGAGGACATGGGACCAAGTCCCGAGGGGCAAAATCCAAGAGGCATAATCCAATAAACAGGCTAAAATCAGAACCCATGGCTCAGAGAGCCAGTGCATAGTTCCAGGGGATAGCCAATGCCAGAATCAGAAAGAACCAAAGCTGAGTCAGGAGCCAGGAGAATCAGAATGAACAGTGAACATGAGACTTGCCAGAACAGACCGGGGCTGTGTCAAGGTGCGACTGCAGCCTGAGGATGCAGGTGTGCTTAAAAGGAGTGAGCATCCCTTTCAGCAGCCAATCTGGTTGCTCACCTCCACAGAAAACTAAGCCAATCTCATTAGCCACAAATCAGGGGTAATGTGATGGTTCAAGTGTATTTGGTCTAGCCAGGCATGATTGATCAGAGACCCTGACTCTTTGGCTTCTAATGTACTTTAAAAAAAAAAATGTGTTACCTTTGATTTCTCTAGCAAATTTCTCCTCAAATTCTTTCTTAGCTTGTCTTACTAAGATTTTATATTTGATTTGCCAGAGTTTGTGCTCTTTTTTATTTTCCTTATTAGGATTTGTCTTCCATTTTTTTAAAGAAAACTTTTTTTTGTTTACTGCCTCTGCAACTTTGCCAATAAGCCATGCTGCCTTTCTTTTGGTCCACTTTCCATTTTTTTTATTTGCAGTATACATTTGCCCTGTGTCTCCAATAAGGTGTTCTTAAGCATTTCCCATGCTGCTTGAAAATTCTTCACCTCCTTAGGGCCCCTTTTTACTTCTATCTAACTAGCTTCCCTCATTTTGGTATAGTTTCCGTTTTTAAAAAGTCTACTGTAGTAGATTTTCTTATCTCCCTTCCTACATGCATATCAAACACAATTGCATTGTGGTAAGTATATTGCAAAGCAGCTCAGTAACACTTATCCTTTCCACTAAATCCTACACACTACTTAGGACTAGGTCAAGAATGGCCTTTTCTCTTGTAGGTTCCAGGACTAATTGCTCCAGAAAGCAATCTTTTATAATGTCAAGAAATTTGCTCTCTGCATCCCAGCCTGATGTCAGATTGACCCAGTCTATTTCTGGATAAAGTTGCCCATTATTACTGTTTTCTGCTTTCACAGTCTCTCTCACCTCTCTCTCCATTTTTAGCTTGCTGCTGCTGTCCTGGTCTGGGAGTCGATAGTATATCCCCAGCTGTACTTTTCTTCTATTGAAAAATGTTTTCTATTGAAACAGAATTTCTGTCCACAGAGATTCAGTGGTTCCTATCTTATCAGTAGAAAAATCTACCCTATTTGATTCAGTGCAGTCTCTGACAGAGTGCCATCCCCATACCAGTATGACCTACAAAAGTAGGTACATGAGCATGTGCATAGAACTTCAAGTACATGAGCAGCACTACTCGCACATTTAATGTTATATACTTTGCTGAGCTATCTTGCTATATCAAGCTCATGATGCAAAAAGATGGAGACTGATTAGATTAAGAAAAAAATAGAAGATAGCTTTTCCTTTTTACCTGAAAGAAAGCATGTTGTTTGATTTCATCAGCATCACTTGGACCACAGCCCAGCCTTTTCTTAGGATCTTTCATCAAAAGACACTGAATCAAATCTTTAGCTAAAGCACTCATCTCTTGGGGGTATGGAGGTTCACTTTTTAATATTCTCCTGTAGAAAAATATGATTTATTAACTACTTAACATTTTGGTATTAAAACAAACACAACTGTGATGTATGTACTAGATAGTTTCACAGTAAGAAATACTGAATTCTTTGCCATTCTCCTCAGATAACAGAAATCTTGTATTTGAGCTTAGTGTTGCTGATCTTCAACAAAATAAGAAAGAATAATAGTCAATATGTGGTTCTGATTTAACAAAGGATAAATCTTGTTTATTTTCACTGAAATATTATGAATACAAAAAATGCACAAAGTGGGACAAGATCAGTAACCCAGTGCAGGGGTATCAAAAATAAGGCACATGGAGCTAGATGAGTTTGACACCCTGGCCTACTACAAAAATCTGAGATCAAGAGCTCCTAAATGCCATCTCTATTTAATCATTTAATTATCAGTAAACAAATTAAAATTATCATAAATGTTCCAAGCAGTTGAAGAACTCTACCCTACATGATAGGGTGGATGTGAAAAGATCTGTAAGCAATTTCTTCCAGACTGAACAGGTACAAGGCAATAGATACATTTTTCCCTTCTATTCTCTTGGCATTGTTAACCAGCCTATAAAATATACAGTAAAACTGATACAATTCATAGTGTACTCTATTTAAGTGCATAGCCTCAGGACTGAAAAAATGCTATGCTCTTACCCAGAATATGCTGTTATCTGAACTTAAAGTGCTCATTAAATAAGTAGTGCTGGCAGTACTGTGGTATTACCTAAGTAACTCAGTTTCAGGCATATTTATCAGTTGCTACTCCATAAACTAAACCATTATGAGGCAGAAAGAGATGCAACACATAGGTGCTTGCATACAATATCAAATGCAAGTTTCCTTCTACCCTAACACTAAAGCACAATTTACAGCTGTTTTGTAAGACAGTGTTTGGAAAGGTTTAAATCTGAAACCAAGTTTCTACTTGAGCCAGTGAACAGTTCCTTTAGTGCACCAATACTAAAAATGCTTGAGTTTATTTTTCTTTGCAGTTTCAGTGTTTAGTAGCAAACAAGATCCACAAGATAAAAGGATTTACAAGATAAACCAGGAGGCTGCATCCAGACAAATGGGCCGTGTTGTATGTGGCGCTGCAGATCCATCTGCAGTGCCACATACTGTATATTCAGGTGTTTCCCATGCTGCTACCTTGCAGCTTGGGGTATTTTTTTTGACTCCTGGATATCCAGGGGTCAAAAAACCTGAACATAAAAAAAGCTGCATAGTGCACATATGTGCCACCCAAAACCAGAGCCTGCCCAGCTGGAGCCAGGCTCTGGCTGCCAACCAGGCTCCAAGCTGCAGAAGGGTTGCGGCTGCAGCTTCCCTGGCCCCCAAGTAAGGTTGCTGGGTCCAGCAACTGTGCTAACCCACTCAGGGTAACCTGCCACGTGCAAGAGAGCACATGGCACGGGCGTTCTCTGGGGACAACTAGCAGCAGCACAAGTGCAGAGATTTCAAACAGGTATCCATAGTGTTAAACATTTTGACCTGTTGTGGCCTTTCTGAGTTATTTGCAACAGAAGACTTGCTCTATTATTTTTCCATGATCAAAAAATGAGTGAAAGCTAAGGCCTAGCATTTTTTGAGGGGTTACTTGAGTGTAAAATGTTTGAGAACCACTGATCTACACCATCCCAGCTACATGTCTTTCTAGCCTTTTCTTGAAACCTTGCAGTAAAAACAATTCTCTATACAGTTTGCTCTGTGGTCTACTGTTTATACAGGGAGGAAGTATTTTCTGTGATTTAATCTAAATCATTTTTGCTGTAGTTTAAAACCACTGCCTCTTTTTTATGGAAGTTAATCAGATATTTGAAAACTTCTTGTCTTCCCTAATCTTCTTTTCTGCAGACTAAGCTTACCTAGTACTCTTAACCTTTCCTTGAACAGTTTGCATTCCAATCACTTTTATCATCTTTGTCACTTGAGAGCAGTGGTGTTTCACAAAGATTGCATTAAACTTAAATATACCCTCCACAAGTATTCTCTTTATGAATTAGAATTAAAGAACCACAGTATCTTACAGAGCGACACTATGATCAGTTTCTATGAACAAACGCACACTTTGTTTTGTATCTTACCTAGAAATCTCAGCTTGGGAATTTTTCTCTCCATCAACTGTAAAAGGCGATGCTCCAGTTAATAACTCATACATAAGAACACCAAGACTCCACCAATCAACTGCCTACAGAAAAATAATTATATGTTATACAAACACAATATAAAAAAGGGAAAAAACAATGTCCCAAGTAAACAGGTAACAAAGAGAACTAGTTACTACATAATAATACAAAGAAAAAACTGGGGATGGTTGGGTTAGAGACTTAAAATATTAAAGAGTAATTAAATTGAGATAGAATAGCATATAAACAGAAAGAATAGTGGTTGGAAGGACTCCAAGAGGTTATCTAGTCTACTCCCTGCCCAGACAAATATTTTTAAAAGCCTTCAGTGAAAAAGTTCTCACAATCTCCCTAGGTAACATATTTTAGTGCTTAAATGTCCTTACAATTAGAAAGTTTCTCCTAAAGTCTAAATCTCCATTGTTGCTATTTAACCCCATTACTTCTGATCTTATTCCCAGTTAAGACTGAACCTTCCTCTTTACGTAACCTTTTACATATTTGGAGATTCTTTATCATTTCTTCACTCAGCCTCATGTTTATTCAGCTGAACACAATGAATTCTTTCGGTCTTTCCTCTTAAGATCATTTTTGTTGCTATCCCCGAGAGTTCTTCCAATTGGTTCACACACCCTTCTTCAAAAGTGTTGCCCAAAAGTGGACAAAGCAATTCAGCTGAGGCCTTACAAGTGCTGGGTAGGTACTCCTATTTTCACTCCAATTTAGTATTTGCTTTTCTCACACCAGCATGGAATTGCTAACAAGTGTTCACTTGCTTATCTATGCTGACCCCCAGGCCATTTCTTGCAGAACTGCTGCCTAGCTAGACATTCCCCATTTTTGTATTTGTATAGTCGATTATTCCAGCCTAACAGGGGTACTTCGCATTAGTCCTTATGTCATTCAATTTATTGCAAACCATTTTGCTATTTGTCAAGATCATTTTGAACTCTAACATTGTCTACCAAAGTATGTATTTGCAACTTCTCCCAGCCTAATGTTATCTGTACATTTAATAAGCATACAAAATAAAGTTAAACTGTATATTTAGAAATTTCTTCATTTGGATTTATAACAAATCACCTACAAAAAACTACAGAAATATAGTTTAACCTGAATTTTTATTTTTGTTAGTTAACAAAAATTCTTATTTAAGATAAATTATAAACCTAATCAGAGTAAAGGTATACTATTTTCAACAGCTCCCAAACCATGAAGAAGTTCAAGCCTCATCAAAAATTAATGGAACTTGGATCTTAGGTGCTTAATTTACTTTGTGAAAAGAACTTGGAAACTTCTGAAAATTATACCCTTAAACTAACAGAATAAATTGCACCCAATTTGTGCTAACTGATGATATTTAATAGTCACAGACAAACTAGAAAGAGGCTGAGGACAGCAACAAGAAAGGTAACAGGTTTACAAAACATGATCTATGCAAAAAGGCCATACAGGATTTGGGATTATTCAGTTTCGGAAACAGGAGGCTGAGGGGGACAGTCTTTAATACACAGAAATTATTATAAATGGGACAGAGATCAATTGCTTTCCATGGACACTGGGACAAAAGCAAATAAATAAATTAGTTTAATTTGCAGCAAAGGTTATTTAGATTGGATATTAGAGAAAACGTTGCAACTATTCGGGTGCTGAAACACTGGAAAAAGTTACCTAAGATCGCTGCAGAATCTGCTTTAGAGAAGATTATTTAAAAAGATAAAACAAACCTCTGTCAAGATTATCTAAATATGCTGAATTCTGTATCACTTTAGGGGGTTAAGACTATTTGGTATCGATATGATTCTATGATGTATTATGAACATTGAATATCAAACTAATATAGAGTGAATCTGAGACTTTGAGAAAATTTCATGTTTGACTTGAGACCATGTTGAATAAAGAGCTTATTGAAATAGAGATTTAAACAACAGCATTTTTGTCCATTAATATTTAGGCTAACAGGATTACAGCAATTTTTTTAATGATTTCTACACACTCAAAGTCTTAAAGATATTTTTTAATACCTTAAATAACCTGGGCCTGAAACTAAAAATACCACATTTCCATGTATTAAAAGACAACAGATACGTTTGTTTAAACTGACCTGAAAGGACAGTATTTAAACTAAGTATGACCATCCTCTGCAAGAAACTCAAACTCAACCATAATGCTGCTTAAAGCAAAATTAAATTCTTAGCAGGTTAGTCTGAATGAGAGAAGTCTTGAAATAGAAGTGGGAGACCAATATTTACCAAAAATAAATACATAAATAAATAAATCGCACACTAAAAAGGATCAAACATTTACAAGAATACTTCACAGAATCATAGAAAAGTAGGGCTGGAAGGGACCTCAGGAGTCCAAGCCCCTGGTCATGATAGGATCATCCTTACCTAACCCATCCTGGACAAGTGATTGTCTAATCTATTCTAAAAACATAATAAACAACTCTCCTATACAGCTACCACGTACAATATCTAAAATATCAAACACCCTAGCCTGCCACAGTAAAGCAACATTGAGACACTCTCGATGTCCCACCACTGCAAGGACTGGAAGTTGTTAAAATATGCTCAAGAGATCCATGGATCGGGACCAAGCACCCCTGCTGCAAAGGAAGACAAAAACCCCACAGTCCATGCCAATCTGAATGTGGGGCTAAATTTTTTCCTGATCCCAAATGTGGTGATTGGTCTGACCCTCAGCAGAGGAGCATGACTTTAAGCCAGGAACTTCTGGGTGCATCCAGCACATACACGTGTGCTTGCAGCAGCTCAAATAGGAGTGGCACAAATTTGAGCATGGAATTTTTGTCTCTGTACATGTGCCCAGACATGCACACTGGCATGGGCCAAGTTGTGCCACTTGGGGCAAAATAACCCTGCCCAGCTCCTCCTGGCCCCAGCAGTACAGAAAGCTGCCCTGGCAAGTAGCTCAGGGCTACCTGCTCTCAGGAGCCTCAGGGGCCCAGCCAATTGGTATCTGGGGACACTACCCCCTTGTGCCAGCTGGACTGCTGAAGCAGCCCTAACCTAGAGTTCCCCACACCCTTTAACCACTGCAGAAGTCTGGCAGTGGGAGCTGTTGCTTGGCTATGACCTGCTGCCACCTGCAACAGCATGTGGCTGTGGCAGGGCACTGTTGGTGCCTGCCACTTTAAGGGCCATACAAAGCAGCCAGCAGGTGACTGATTGCGGCAGCCATTTTAGATCCCTGGCTGCCTATATAAACAGGGCAGTTAATTGTTGGCAGAGCAGGCAGTAACACTGCATGTGGCATCTTGGAGGTAAGGGCAGGAGTTGTAGGGGACAGTTTGGAGGCTCCTGGTCCTAGGCATAACCTAAAACTGCACCCTGCCAGGAGTGGGTGGCCTGGTGGGGCTCTCAGTGGTGCGGCCAGTTACCACCCCACTGATAGGCGAGTAGGGGTGCCTTAACCCCAGCCCTCACCTTTGGGTGGGCTGTTTATACCATCAGAGCAGGGTAGGCCAGGTAAGCTTCAGGAAGCACCTGAGCCTGCTGGGGGAATGACCCCACAGAGCCAGGCACACTTCCAGAAGCACCTGAGCTGGGTATGGGGGACCCCAATCCCTAAGTGCAGGCAGGAGGCATAAACCCAACCAAGGGACTCAACTGGTTAATGCTGGGGCCAGGACCAGAAAAGTCAAAAGGGCCAGGGGCCCACTGCAACAGATGCCCATGATAAGCAAAGAAGCTCGGTGTCCCGACTGGCCTGAGATGGGGCCAAGGCTTACAGAAGCCGAAGGTCCCATGATTGGGGGCCACAGAAGGGGATAGTTAAACCAACTGCCTGAGATGCCTTCTGCAAGGCTTGGGCTGCAGTGTAGGGGTGGAATGGAGCCAAGGATAGCCCCCCGCCCCCATCAGGGTGTAAAATTGGCAGTCTCCTGCCTTAATTAACAATATAATTCATTACAACAAGGCATGGCAGGAGAGGCAGGTGGGAAACTAGCTATGTGGCTAGTCAGGGACCCCCACTTTGCCACAGTGGCCCCAAGGCTGTGCACCTGCCAGACCTGGATGGAGACTTCACAGCTGCAGTGCAGGCATCTGCACCTCTGGGTCAGCTGCCAGCAGGCTGTGGCTGCTCATTTGGCCTTTGTGCACCACAACCGCCATGTGTGCTGCTCTCCTGCCATCTGGGGAGCTACTGCCCGAAAGAGGTTCTCACTATGCTGAATGGTCAAAGCATGTCCTCCTAGCTCCAAGTGGCCAAGAGGTCAGCCACCTTCAGCTGGGTCCCAGGTGCCAGCCCTGAGCAAGCTCCTCTGCCTGGGTCCTGCCACTTGCCTCATTAGCAGGAATCCTGGTGTTCCCTATTTAAAAACTACAAAATCTCTGACAAAAACCAATGCAAATTCACTCTTTAAAATGTTCTTCTACAACTAAAACAAATGACCACTACATAGTGCACACAGGACCTGGCCCAGCATGACAGACTGTCCCCAAGGGCAGTATGGGGCCCCGCCTGAACAGCCTGGAGCTGCCCAAAGGCACAGTGACACACCAAGTTGGGCCAGGCCCACACGATGTGACACAGGCAGCACCAGGTGCCAGGCAGCCAGGGCCAAGCTGCGCTGCCCTGAGCCCTGCATGGGGGGGGTGCGTGCCAGGAGGCTCTGAGTAATGGCCTCTACTGCTATGGGTGAGCTCCAGGATGTGCAGGGGAACTGGTGTAGTATGAATTTTTGCATATTAGTTATTATGTTTAAATGATAATAGAGGTTGATTAATTCAGTACTATGATTGTATGAACAACACAAAATGGAGTTTTATCTTGTTCCCTCCTTGACATGAGTAGATGAACTTCGTATGTCCTGTGTACATGAGTGTCTGTGTGAGAGGGTGAATGGTGAAAGAATGGTAACTATCTGCATGAAAACAGAAGATCTATTTGATTGTGTAAGCAACAAGGTGCCAATGTATACCTTACCAGACAGTAAGCTAATTAAGCTAATTAATGGATGGCTGAAGAACTTGTCTGTGATCAGGTGCGAAGAAGAAGGAATTTTGCATATCCTGCCATTTGAACTACACAATGC